TCGTTTTGGAATGTAATGAATGTATAACTATCTATTCGTTACTTATTGTAATCACAGCTAGTCTTCTTTACACCTAGTGTTTTGTACCTTTAATTTAGTTTGCTTGTGTGTTTGTATAAGCGTATATAAAAACAGAATGCATCTTTTGTATTTTGTTTAAAATTACAATGGTGCAAATATGCAAGAAGATCAGTGATCCGGAAAAGGTCGTTCCGTTTTATCTTTACCTATACACACTTCACATGGCAGGAGATATGAATAACTTCGTATAATTTATAAATCATCGGCGAAATGGGATCTTGTTGTGATTTAAAAAAAACTCGATTAGAAGACACTAATTTTGTTACAAGAGTAATGATCAGAGAATGTGTCTAATAACAAAGAACCCGGAAGTATACAGCTTCCGAAGCGTTTACATGGTCTTATATATTATAAATTTATAACCATATTTTTTTGCATGATAAATCAAATAACAAGTCGTAATACATTTTTATATTTTAGATTGATATGTGTCAGGTAAAATGTTGAAGTGTGTTGTCTATTATTAAAGTACCTGGTCCAGTATTACAGTGTCTGGTCCAGTATTACAATGTCTGGGCCAGTATTACAATGTCTGGTCCAGTATTATATTGTATGGCCCAGTATTACAGTGTATGGTCCAGTATTACAGTGGATGGTCCAGTATTACAGTGTATGGTCCAGTATTACAATGTATGGTCCAGTTTTACAGTGTCTGGTACAGTATTTCAGTGTATGGTCCATTATTACAATGTCTGGTCCAGTATTACAAAGTCTGGTCCAGTATTACTGTGTCTGGTACAGTATTTCAGTGTATGGTCCATTATTACAATGTCTGGTCCAGTATTACAATGTCAGGTCCAGCATTACAATGTCAGGTCCAGTATTACAATGTCAGGTCCAGTATTACAGTGTATGGTCCAGTATTACAGTGTATGGTCCAGTATTACAATATCAGTTCCAGTATTACAGCGTCTGGTTCAGTATTACAATGTATGGTCCAGTATTAGAGTGTATGGTCCAGTATTACAATATCAGTTCCAGTATTACAGCGTTTGGTCCAGTATTACAGTGTATGGTCCAGTATTACAGTGTATGGTCCAGTATTACAGTGTATGGCCCAGTATTACAGTGTATGGTCCAGTATAACAATGTCTGGTCCAGTATTACATTGTATGGTTCAGTATTACAATGTCTGGTCCAGTATTGCAAAATCCGGTCCAGTATTACAGTGTGTGGTCCAGTATTACAATGTCTGGGACAGTATTACAATGTCTGGTCCAGTATTACAATGTATGGTCCAGTATTAGAGTGTATGGGCCAGTATTACAATATCAGTTCCAGTACTACAGCGTCTGGTCCAGTATTACAATGTATGGTCCAGGATTAGAGTGTATGGGCCAGTATTACAATGTCTGGGACAGTATTACAATGTCTGGTCCAGTATTACAACGTCCGCTCCAGTATTACAGTATATGGTCCAATATTACAATTTATTATACATCAGTTCCAGTATTACAGCGTCTTGTTCAGTATTACAATGTATGGTCCAGTATTAGAGTGGATGGTCCAGGATTACAATATCAGGTCCAGTATTACAGCGTTTGGTCCATTATTACAGTGTATGGTCCAGTATAACAATGTCTGGTCCAGTATTACAATGTATGGTCCAGTATTAGAGGGTATGGTCCAGTATTACAATATCAGGTCCAGTATTACAGCGTTTGGTCCATTATTACAGTGTATGGTCCAGTATTAAACCCTCAGTTCCAGTATTACAGCGTCTGGTTCAGTATTACAATGTATGGTCCAGTATTAGAGTGTATGGGCCAGTATTACAATATCAGTTCCAGTATAACAGCGTTTGGTCCAGTATTACAGTGTATGGCCCAGTATTACAGTGTATGGTCCAGTTTTACAAAATCAGTTCCAGTATTACAGCGTCTTGTTCAGTATTACAATGTATGGTCCAGTATTACAATGCCTGGTCTAGTATTACAGGGTATGGTCCAGGATTACAGTGTATGGTCCAGTATTAAACCCTCAGTTCCAGTATTACAGCGTCTTGTTCAGTATTACAATGTATGGTCCAGTATTAGAGTGGATGGTCCAGGATTACAATATCAGGTCCAGTATTACAGCGTTTGGTCCATTATTACAGTGTATGGTCCAGTATTACAGGGTATGGTCCAGGATTACAGTGTATGGTCCAGTATTGCAATGTCTGGTCCAGTATTACAGTGTATACAATGCCTGGTCTAGTATTACAGGGTATGGTCCAGGATTACAGTGTATGGTCCAGGATTACAGTGTATGGTCCAGTATTACAATATCTGTTCCAGTATTACAGCGTCTGGTTCAGTATTACAATGTATGGTCCAGTATTACATTGTATGGGCCAGTATTACAATGTCTGGTCCAGTATTACAATGTATGGTCCAGTATTAGAGGGTATGGTCCAGTATTACAATATCAGGTCCAGTATTACAGCGTCTGGTCCAGTATTTCAATGTATTGTCCAGTATTACAATGCCTGGTCTAGTATTCCAGTGTATGGTCCAGTATTACAATGTCTGGTCCAGTATTACATTGTATGGTCCAGTATTACAATGTCTGGTACAGTATTACAATGTCTGGTCCAGTATTGCAATATCCGGTCCAGTATTACAGTGTGTGGTCCAGTCTTACAGTGTCTGGTCCAGTATTACAATATCTGGTCCAGTATTACAACGTCCGCTCCAGTATTACAGTATATGGTCCAATATTACAATGTATGATCCAGTATTACAGTGTCTGGTGTAGTATTACAATGTATGATCCAGTATTACAATTTCTGGTCCAGTATTACAACGTCTGCTCCAGTATTACAGTATATGGTCCAATATTACAATGTATGATCCTGTATTACAGTGTCTGGTCCAGTATGTCTGGTACAGTATTACAATGTCTGGTCCAGTATTACAATATCTGGTCCAGTATTACAGTCTGTGGTCCAGTTTTACATTGTCTGGTCCAGTATTACAATGTCTGGTCCAGTATTACAATATCTGGTCCAGTATTACAACGTTCACTCCAGTATTACAGTATATGGTCCAATATTACAATTTATTATACAATATAAGACTTCTGCAGTGCAATAAAGGGGTGCAATAAAATTGATATTGAACGTGTGCAATAAAGATGCAAATGAGCGCGCGACACCGTGGGAACTAGGTCGTATTCCTACGCACTACTACTATGTGATATGTGCTGGGGGGACGTTACACTACAAAACCACACTGACGGACATGAACAAAAACCAGGACAGGGGAGAACACCCGTGATGTACGCAAAGTAAAACCAAAATTGTGGGCAAACACTGAAAATCCCGAAAGGTGTCCTGTTCATGTTTACAAATGCTATGCAGATATGAGACCTACGACTTACTGTAAAGGATCAGATCCATTTTATATAGCTACTACAACAAAAAGCTCACCTGGAAGTCATGAGACTTGGTTCAAGCGCCAACCCGTTGGTATCAACAAGCTAAAATCCATGATGCAACGTGCCATAAAGGGAGCAGGAATCCAAACTGACAAACACTTGTCAAATCACAGTGCGAGGAAATATCTTGTCCAGAAATTGAACGATAATAACATCCCCGCTAACCATATAATGCAAATTTCTGGTCACCGAAACATTTCTTCTATTAATAATTATTCACACATCAACACGAATCAACACAAAGAAATCTCCAAAATACTGCACGGAAATCCAACAGCACCTGAGACCGGATGCAACACAACATCACTGACACAACAATCAATGGCGTGTAACCAGTCAACTTCCTCTGTTGTCAGGGTCCAGGGCGGTTTCCAAAGTATCTTTTCAGGTGCTGTCACAGGAGGAAACATACAAGTTCATGTTTACCAAGGACNAGAAGTCATATTTTGTAAACTTTTATTATTTCAATTGTTATCACAATTAAAATGATCGTTAAAAGTAAAACTGTTGGCCATTTATTATTCTGATAAAATTCTGCGGACTACTTTTGTTAGCGGAACATGCTCTCAAATTAGTATATGTGATGCGTCCTTTCTCGTCGTCATTGCATATAGAGACGTTAGTATTGAAACCACTTATGTAGGTAGGTTTCTCGAATTATATAATAAATAGAATCTAACACTCGTGTTCATGTTATATTGAATTTATTGAACTCGTATATTAATTTCATATGAAACTCGCCAAAGGCTCGTTTCATATGAAATTAATATACTCGTTCAATAAATTCAATATAACATGAACACTCGTGCTAGATCCTCTATGTATGATCCAGTATTACAGTGTCTGGTCCAGTATTACAGTGTATGGTCCAATATTACAATGTCTGGTCCAGTATTACAGTGTATGGTCCAGTATTACAATGTCTGGTACAGTATTACAATGTCTGGTCCAATATTACAATATCTGGTCCAGTATTACAGTGTGTGGTCCAGTTTTACAGTGTCTGGTCCAGTATTACAATGTCTGGTCCAGTATTACAACGTCCGCTCCAGTATTACAACGTCCGCTCCAGTATTACAGTATATGGTCCAATATTACAATGTATGATCCAGTATTACAGTGTCTGGTCCAGTATTACAATGTATGGTCCAGTATTACATTGTATGGTCCAGTATTACATTGTCTGATCTTATATTACAATGTCCTGTCTAGTATTACAGTGTATGTTAAGTATCAAAATGTCTGTTCCCTTATTACAATGTCTGGTCCAGTAATACAATGTCTGATCCAGTATTACAGAATCTGGTCTGATATATTATTGTCTGGTCCAGTATTACACTGGCTGGTCCAGTATTACAATGTCTGGTCCAGGGTTACAGTGTCACGTCCGATCGGGGAATCGAAACCCGGCCACTCTGATGAAAGGCGAGGGCGTGAACCACTTCAGCACCCAACCACCCTTAACAGAAACCATATTTGGGTTCCCATGATCATTATCAAAGCTTATAAAGGAGAACAACTAAAAAACAACTAAAACTTACATGAAAATAATCCGTCTGTTGACATATCGTTACAGATTTTAACAACCTGTACACATTAACGTTAAATACGTACTTGGTAAGATAAGTCTTATACGTTGACGTAGGGATTCCTACTGTTGGCCGTCAGTCACGTGCTTGGCAAGTCAGGCAATGGGAGCGTCACGTACAAACACGTCTCTGTGTGAGTCAGTACTTTACGTAATCAAATAAAATGTCATTGCAAAGAAACTTTGTTGTTCAATTTTTATTATGATTTTAAAAAATAAATGTACAATACATATACCATGCTATTGTAAGCTTATATCCATTTAAAAGAATCCTATTTATTCATTACTATATTTGCACTCTGAAAATAGTACTTTTCCATTATTAGCCTAATGCAAAATTGTAAAAGCTTTAAATTCATGAATACTGGTTGTAAAATATTTACATTCATCTTGTTGGAACTTTCTGTCTTTCAGCAGACAGAGCCAGTATGGCATATATTTCACCCTACGTGCAGTCACACGCATCAAGGTTTAATCACCGGAAATACAAAGCATCGGTACAAAACTGCATTTTTTTCTACATGTAACATGCTGTAAGAAACTGATTGAAATTTAAATATCTGGACCAGTTTTCATAGACTTGCCATGACTCTATTCTTTGACAAATTACAATCGAAAATAAAACAAGCCTGGAATATTCTGACCTCCTTCAAATAAATTGCAAAGTACAACTTGGTAACGTCGTTTTCGTCCTGCCAGGTATAGACGGTGAGTTGTTTACCCGGTCCACACTCGCCCAGGAACGTCACTTCAGTCTGCATCAGTGGGTATTTGACGATGTCGGACGTAAAATGCCGGTAGTATCCGGAGAGAGAAGCTTCGGATGCAGCATCGGAACAGAACCGGTAGTACTCCGCGGCGTTCAGGTGGTAGTTAAAATCTAGGTCACTGTAACGCGTTTGGGTAGTTGTTCTGAAAGATGTAACAGGAGGGATGAGAGCATCTTGTTTTCTGGTCATCATTGACGCTTGTTCATGGTCAACAAGCTTACTTGAACTCTCATAATACGTTTTCGGTAATTTTACAGACCGCCGAGTCTCCCAATTTACAGCGACAAGTTTGTTTTCTGATTTCAAATACCAGCTTCCCGTGTCTGGGTCGGAAAATTCCCGTCTGACACCTACGGTGCCTGGTGTTACAGACGACACGGTGAAAGTCACGTGATATTGTTGTAGTTTCTCAGCCCATGAGAACTTAGTATGAAATGTTGGAGACATCACACATTTTTCGCTGATGAGGAAGAGCCGAATATTGTCTCTGACCAAATTCTGCGATAACGGTATAAAATCATGAAGGCCGCATATTGTGCCTGCGTCCTGAAGGATTTTACTGACTCCCCAAATTGACAGGTGACCTGCAGCGAAAAAAATGTAATTATTTTAAATACAGCTATAATAAGTAGGATATTTTCAATAATTAATATTTTTTACTCGAATACAGTGAATATAGTAAAATGGTATAAGCATTTTCAGGATTAACGCATCTAACGAGACATCGCCTATTTATATAGGATCTCACATGATTTTCAAATTCATTAAAGATTAATGAAACGAGTTTAAGAGTCTTTTCAATTTTCATAATTTTGATATGAAATGAAAACGAGTGTAAGATCCTTTTTATCACATCATCAAGATTTTTATTTGTATAAAATGACAATTTTCATGCAACTTTGATATGTAAAAAGCCGCCATTTCAACTCCAGTGCGTAAGTCTGTAACGTCTTGTACTTGTCCTTAGCGTGACGTCTCAATTGAAACAATTGAAACTTACAACCAATCACAGGGCTGATAGGTCATATAACATGGGTTAATACGCAAAAAAGTATGACATGGTTATATTAATTGGATAACACAGTACATTATATGATAAATGTTAAATATCATGTACAACGATGAGGTTAAACTTCTTCCTTAACATATCGTTAACGAAACGTCACTTTGCTCGTCCTGTCGCGTAAATAAAACCATTCGCTCACTCTTCCCTATTGGTAACATGACATATTCTATGCCCGTAGTCTGTCTCTTAAATCAAACAATTTCTTCCTGTCTGTCCTTTTGTTTATAACACAAATGCTTCATTTAGTCTTTCCTAGCTTTTTAAACAACACATACTTGGTTTTGTCTGTACAACTGCTTACATGAAACACAATTCACTTAGTTTGTCACATCGCCTAAATGACTGAAAAATTCGTTAGTCATATTGTTTTTCAATAAATCTATCCTATTTGTAACATGGCCTACATAATTTGCTTAGTTTGGTCTTTATTTTTAATCGTTCAATAGTCCTTCTGTCCAGTAGTACACACTTTTTAAACGGAATGCTAAAAATATTTTATTGTACTTTTCCTATTAAAGGTTGGGCAAGCAAAGTAGTAAAACAGCTTCAGACAAGTGGACGTCTGTTGAATATTCACTACTTAGTTTAAAATATGTTGATTGCTGACAACAGCTTTGCCAAAGAGAACTTACACACATACCAAACGCTAACGACCAACACCTTCTGTTTTCTGTACATATCTACTATCTTATTTGTATCCTCGTTTCGATCAATACGCATTTACACACGAGAAAACATTTTAATCAAGATATTTGTCATGACAGTTGTTAAATTTATGGAAGGTTAAAAACCACAAAAAACATTCTTCTTGTATAATTCCTCTTGAGGTGACTATCATTTTGTCCTCGTCGGTTCATTTTGTATACATAAGCCCAAAGTACGCCGTACGCACCTGTACGATCGCGGTAAGCGGACGCTGGGCTGGCGATATCAAACTCAAATCTCCCTGGTGACGCGTGTGTCAAGGTGTAGTGCACCATTGTTACACCAATGCCTGAAACAGGTCATAGCATGTACTCACAAATTCAAATGTTTAGTAGATGTTCATTAAAATGGTTCAAAAGACATCATCAGACATCTAGGACAGAATATCACACATCCAAGAGCATCAAATACACCACAAAATCAACAAACGCAGAAAGCATGTATCCCATTTCTGGCATACACTGACAAATTCTGCTTCAACTTAAAATATATTATACATCATATTAACCCATAAGAACAAAGCACACCACTTTTAAAATTAATGGACATGAATATAAATTGAATAGAAAGGACATTTCTGGATTACCTACTAAACTCAACAAAAAAAAACAGCGTCCCAAATACCGCATATGACATCAATACGTATTTCATATAGATAACAACGATCATCGAAACGGTGAATAAATCATGGTTTAAAGAGGTTTATAACCTGTTTAATTCCTGCTTCTAGTCGTCAGTTACGTGGGTACAGACAATATAACTCATCGACTGGAAGTTGTTATTTATAACGTGTTTCAACCATGAATACAAAGTTTATATACTTAAACATGTTAACACTTACAACAGAGCGAAAATCCTCCTGATAAAGCTTACACTGGGAAACCGTTAACAACTCCACTTACTTAGGGTACATGTGTATATATCTAGAAATGTTAACGAACTATTTGGTTGGTCGTCTGATATAAGTATCTGTTATATATCATGACCTCCGGACCGATGTGGGTTATCTTAAATCTAACTTGTTTGTGATATTGCATATGTGTTCTTGGGTTTTAAACCTACCTTACATATTAATATGGTGATAGTTAGGCCTTTGTACGAATGTGTTATCTGTGACCTACTGACCGATTTAAGTTATCTTACACCTGGTTTCATTGTGACTTTCTGTATGCTGGTTTCATTGTGACTTTCTGTATGCTTTCCTAAGGTTTGCAACTACCTTAAACATTACTTGTGTGATGTTACGGCCTGTTGTATGGTTGTATTTATCACCACGATTTGTGCAATGTTTACATGATATACTTACATGTATATGATAAAAAGAGAATAATAATTCGAGGTTCGTATATACCGCTTTAACACAACCTAGTTCGTAGGTCGTCTCAAAGCGGTTCACAAATTATTATCCGTGGCTATAGGGCCTTTGCAACTGGGGAGCATACAGCCGGAGCTGCCATTTCGGCGCTAACAGCTAGCATTCAACAATTCTAGCACTTCCCAACCACGTACATGTACTCATTTACAGCTGAGTAGACTGGAAAAAGCGGAGTAACGTATCTTGCTCAAAGATACAACACATTGCCGTGCCGTGGCGCGAACCCGCAACCCTTCGGTCACGAGCCCGGCGTCCTACCACTGGACTACCGTGCTGTCCTACATTGGTTATATATGTACACCTTTGTAACAAGTTATTCACTTTTAACTATTTTCATCTTTACATGACCTCGTAATTTTTTAAAGTGTTATTCAACTATTGAAACGCAAGTTCTTGACATTTTGCATCAAACGTATTCCAATTTTAATGTTTACTTTTAAGATAAAATGCTTCGAACATAAGTATTTTATTTTCTCTAAATAAATAAATCAATATACTATTTTATCCTTCTTGGTGGTAAACATGATTCATACAGTTCGCAGATAAGATATGTTTCACTGTCAACTGAAAAGTAATTATAATAGAACAAAAATTCTCAATATTCGTAAAATAATGTTGTATTCTATCATAATTATGTTTATGATAATAAGGACATTTGTACATAAAATAATCTAATCGATCTTTTATTTTTAACATAATACATGTAAGATGCAAACACAGGAAGTTATTTTATAACTTTTCATCCGGTTATATGAGATTTGTTTTTTTAGAATCCATCTTTTCATGCAGTCTACACACATATCGTTTTCCTGTGTCGAAATCATTTAAGAGCATTAAATTTCCTCTTTCCATGTGACAAACCGCCATAACATTAGAAACAGTGTTTAACAGTTGTACGTGTATTGTACCAAATGCCTGCCAACTGAATACCGTTCTCCATACAATGTTAAGAAAATATCCCTGAATCCCAAACCAGAATCGCGTATAAGACCTACAGATCTCAGCAGTAATGTTAAAGAACAATAGATATGAATTAAACCTCGAAACACGTATTGAATCAATCCCCCGATTTATATTTAGGTCAAACTAAGCTAGTATTTGATAAAAACAGAAATCAGATACTTTGGTACCTTATAGTATGAAATTAATATGAAGAATCATATCAGAATAATCAGCACGATGCAAAATCTAAAATCAAAATTGTGTTATATTCTAAGTCTAATGTCATCCACCCCCCCCCCCCCCCCCCCCCCAACAAACAAACAAACAACAACAACCAATACAATAAATGCTGTTTAACATATATCAGGATATATTATGAATACTAGTTAAACGCGATACTTAGCTATACTCAAACACATAACACTGATACTCATACTGAAGGTAATAGAGTACACCAATATAAACCACACAAACGTTATGGTGGCTTCATGCTCAAAGGGAGTGAACTGCAGTATAAATCGAAGTCACAATATGTAGGTCAGCGTGCATCGCTATTAACATGTAAACAATGTCAGGAGTGCTTTCAAACATAAATTGGCGATGATTTGAATTGCCTATATTGTTAAATTGTGTTTATTGTGTCTCATATTCAGTCATTCATGTACCATGAATACCGGAACAATGAAATGGATAGCTTTTCATTATGAGTCTGACCCTGGACAGAGGGTTAGGCTTCTCACGCGGCGGCCATCTTGAATCTAAAACGAGGCTGAGAGCGCAGATAAAAAGACAGACAGAATGGATCCTTCTGACAAATTTCCATCGGAAAACCAAAAAGCGTTGAATACATTGTCACAATTAACTAGAAATATTGAATTTGATAAGATCACAATGCAAACTACATCTGTACAGTGTGTTCATAAATATGGTATTTCTATTTCTGTAAATGTGTTTACATCTAAAATGAAATTTCTTTGCTTGTGTTTCGTCACATCAGATCACATTCCGTCTTACTATAATGTACATGTATCGGAGTCCCGATGTTTCGAATTTTCCCCGATTGTCCTTAAAAGTTCGAAACATCGAAGTTTGACTGTAGTTAAATGTACAGAATATCATATGTCATTGTTATCGTAGAATTTGGCTGAGACAAAACATCATGTTCCGTTCTTATAAGTCAGTGCTTAACATTGTACATTCTTGTATTTACAAAAGAATAAAACAAATTCGCCAAATAGTTAAGTACAATATGATATTGATAAGAATTATAGATGACCTCTCCCTACACAGACAATTGTTCTATTTGTCACATCCCGTGCCACTGTGTCCTCTTTAATCATTATTCCTTTTAATATAGGCCCGTTCCATGTTTATTTTCCTGTTTCATAACAGGGAACACTGTTGTTGATCGTTTTGGCTGTTTTCGTCCGCGGGAAATGCCACAAGCTATTGATTTCTAAGATGTAAAAGATAGCCTTACTGCAAAGACGTTTCTAGTTGATACATCCTGCTTTTGGCAGTGGTATGGGGATCCCTAAAACTGTTACTAACTGCTACGAAGAAAATGATGACAAGTACAGTATATCCACATTAACATGTATATAGCTAAATTCCAAAGAACTAACGTTTTTGTAGTGTTCCCTGACAGGTTTTCCTTGGATAACAAAGGTTCGACATTAAAGTTCAGTATCTGTATCCAATCTCTTCTGTTCAGATATGCTACACATGTAGGTAACCCTCTTTAAAGCTTTGAACACCTGTCGGAGTTTCACAGACTTGACATGACCTTGTCCTGTGTTAGACTACTATTGTAAATAAAACAGGACTGAAATATTCTGACCTTCTTTAGATAAATTGCAAAGTATAACTTCGTAAAGTTGTCTTCATCCTGCCAAGTATAGACGACGATTTGTTCACGCGGTCCACATTCGCTCAGGAATGTTGCATCTGTTTGCATTATTGTGTATTTCACGATGTCGGACGTAAAATGCCGATAGTATCCGGAGAGAGAAGCTTCGGATGTAGCATCGGAACAAAACCGATAGTACTCCGCAACGTTGACATGGAGGTTAAAATCTAGGTCACTGTAGCGCGTTTGGAAAGTTGTTTTGAATGCGGTATCAGGAGGAATGAGGGTGTCTTGTTTTCTTGTCATTATTGAGGCATGTTCATGGTCAACAAGTTTACTCAGGCTCTCATAATACGAATCCGGAAATTTGGCAGATCGGCGGGTCTCCCAATTCACGGCAACCAGTTTAATCTCCGATTTCAAAAACCAACTTCCGGTGTCTGTGTCGGAAAAAACCCGTCTGTTACTTACACTTCCTGGTGTCACAGCCGACACAGTATAGGTTACATGGTATTTCTGTAGTTTTCCAGCCCGAGAGAACTTAGTACGAAAGGTTGGAGACATTACATATTTTTCGCTGATGAGAAATAAGCGAATATTGTCTTTACCCAAATCTCGTGATGACGGCATAAACCCGTGGTCTATAGCTATAGTAGCAGCGTCATGGTATATTTTACTTATACTCCACATGGACAGGTGGCCTGCAAGAAAATAACTGAAGATAAAGGTTCTCTACCGTTAACACACCAGTTGGCTTAATATTTAACCGAATGTTTAAGATGAATTTGCAGTAAGAAAAAGGTGAATATTCATTATGTAAAAAGATAGCCAAAGGAATAAGTAGCAAAGATACTGACTGATGTTAGAGGTGGTACCTAAATATAGCATGTATCTGTTAGCATAAAAATTGATAAATCTTTAATATCATGATTATTTTTGGTTATATAGTCTGGAATCAAATGAAATATCTCCTTGAATTTTTTACCCTGAGTAATCCTCACGTACCAGTTCGATCGCGAAAAGCAGACGTCGGACTGGCCATGTCAAACTCACATCTCCCTGGTGATGCGTGTGTCAAGGTGTAATGCGCCATTAGTACAGTAACGTCTGCAACAAGTCAAAGCACTGATTTCAGTTTGATCCTTAAGTCTACATTTACCGGAACATCAACTAACGAGACAACATATACCACAACATCAACCAACGAGACAACATATACCAGAACATCAAACAACTATACAACATATACCACAACATCAAACAACTATCCCACATATACCACAACATCAACCAACGAAACAACATATACCACAACATCAACCAACGAAACAACATATACCACAACATCAACCAACGAAACAACATATACCAAAACATCAACCAACAACACAACATATACCAGAACATCAAACAACTATACAACATATACCACAACATCAACCAACGAGGCAACATATACCAAAACATCAACCAACGAGACAACATATACCAGACCACCAACCAACGAGACAACATATACCACAACATTAACCAACGAGACAACATATACCAGAACATCAACTAACGAGACAACATATACCAGAACATCAACAAACGAGACAACATATACCAGAACATCAACAAACGAGACAACATATACCAGAACATCAACCACCGAGACAACATATACCAGACCATCAACCAACGAGACAACATATACCACAACATCAAACAACTATACCACATATACCACAACATCAACCAACGAGACAACATATACCACAACATCAACTAACAAGGCAACATATACCCCAACATCAACTAACTATACAACATATACCAGAATATCAACTAACTATACAACATATACCACAACAGCAACCAACGAGACAACATATACCACAAAATCAACCAACGAGACAACATATACCAAAACATCAAACAACTATACCACATATACCACAACATCAACCAACGAGACAAAATATACCACAACATCAAACAACTATACCACATATACCACAAAATCAACCAACGAGACAACATATACCACACCATCAAACAACGAGACAACATATACCAGAACATCAAACAACTATACAACATATACCACAACATCAAACAACTATACCACATATTCCACAACATCAACCAACGAGACAACATTTACCGGAACATCAACCAACGAGACAACATATAACAGACCATCAACCAACGAGACAACATATAGCACAACATCAACTAACAAGGCAACATATACCACAACATCAACCAACTATACCACATATACCACAACATCAACCAACGAGACAACATTTACCGGAACATCAACCATCGAGACAACGTATACCATACCATCAACCAACGAGACAACATATACCACACCATCAAACAACGAGACAACATATACCAGAACATCAAACAACTATACAACATATACCACAACATCAAACAACGAGACAACATATACCACAACATCAACTAACAAGGCAACACATACCACAACATCAACTAACTATACAACATATACCAGAACATCAACTAACTATACAACATATACCAGAACATCAACTAACTATACAACATATACCACAACATCAAACAACTATACCACATATTCCACAACATCAACCAACGAGACAACATTTACCGGAACATCAACCATCGAGACAACGTATACCATACCATCAACCAACGAGACAACATATACCGGAACATCAACCAACGAGACAACAAATACCACAACCACAACCAACGAGACAACATATACCAGACCATCAACTAACGAGACAACATATACCAGAACATCAACCAACGAGACAACATATAACAGACCATCAACCAACGAGACAACATATACCACAACATCAACTAACAAGGCAACATATACCACAACATCAACTAACTATACAACATATACCAGAACATCAACTAACTATACAACATATACCAGAACATCAACCAACGAGACAACATATCCCATAACATCAACCAACGAGACAACATATTCCAGACCATCAACCAACGAGACAACATATAGCACAACATCAACTAACAAGGCAACATATACCACAACATCAACCAACAAGGCAACATATACCACAACATCAACCAACAAGACAACATATCCCACAACATCAACCAACAAGACAACATATCCCACAACATCAACCAACGAGACAACATATCCCATAACATCAACCAACGAGACAACATATCCCATAACATCAACCAACGAGACAACATATTCCAGACCATCAACCAACGAGACAACATATACAAAAACATCAACCAACGAGACAACATATACCGGAAGATCAACCAACGAGACAACATATACCAGACCAACAACCAACGAGACAACATATACCACAACATCAATCAACAAGACAACATATACCACAACATCAACCAACAAGCCAACATATACCACAACATCAACCAACGAGACAAGTATAACTATACAACATATACCGGAACATCAACCAACGAGACAAAATATACCAGACCATCAACCAACGAGACAAAATATACCACAACATCAACCAACAAGACAACATATCCCACAACATCAACCAACGAGACAACATATGCCATAACATCAACCAACGCGACAACATATACCAGCCCATCACCCAACAAGACAACATATACCACAACATCAACCAACAATACAACATATACCACAACATCAACCAACGAGACAAGTATAACTATACAACATATACCGGAACATCAACCAACGAGACAACATAAACCAGACCATCAACCAACGAGACAACATATACCACAACATCAACTGACTATACAACATATACCACAACATCAACTAACGAGACAACATATACCAGAGCATCAACCAACAAGACAACATATACCACAACACCAACCAACGAGACAACATATACCAGACCATTAACCAACGAGACAACATATACCAGAACATTAACCAACGAGACAACATATACCAGAACATCAGAACATCAACCAACGAGACAACATATACCGGACCATCAACCAGCGATCCCACCTATACCAGACCATCAACCAACGAGACAACATCTACCACAACATCAACTAACTATACAACATATGCCAGAACATCAACTAACTATACAACATATACCAAAACATCAACTAACTATACAACATATACCAAAACATCAACTAACTATACAACATATACCAGAATATCAACTAACTATACAACATATACCACAACAGCAACTAACTATACAACATATACCAGAACATCAACCAACGAGACAACATATACCGGAACATCAACCAACAAGACAACATATACCACAACACCAACCAACGAGACAACATATACCAGACCATAAACCAACGAGACAACATATACCAGAACATCAACTAACGAGACAACATATACCAAAACATCAACCAACGAGGCAACATATACCAAAACATCAACCAACGAGGCAACATATACCAAAACATCAACCAACGAGGCAACATATACCAAAACATCAACCAACGAGACAACATATACAAGACCATCAACCAACGAGACAACATATACAAAAACATCAACCAACGAGACAACATATACCACAACAGCAACCAACGAGACAACATATACCACAACATCGACTAACTATACAACATATACCACAACATCAACTAACGAGACAACATATACCAGAACATCAACTAACGAGACAACATATACCAAAACATCAACCAACGAGACAACATATACAAGACCATCAACCAACGAGACAACATATACAAAAACATCAACCAACGAGACAACATATACCAGGCCATCAACCAACGAGACAACATATACCACAACATCGACTAACTATACAACATATACCACAACATCAACTAACGAGACAACATATACCAGAGCATCAACCAACAAGACAACATATACCACAACATCAACCGACGAGACAACATATACCACAACTTCAACCAACGAGATAACATATGCCAGAACATCAACCAACGAGACAACATATACAAGACCATCAACCAACGAGACAACATATACAAAAACATCAACCAACGAGACAACATATACAAGACCATCAACCAACGAGACAACATATACAAAAACATCAACCAACGAGACAACATATACCGGAACTAACAAGGCAACATATACCACAACATCAACCAACAAGGCAACATATACCACAACATCAACCAACAAGACAACATAGACCACAACATCAACCAACGAGACAACATATGCCATAACATCAACCAACGAGACAACATATCCCATAACATCAACCAACGAGACAACATATTCCAGACCATCAACCAACGAGACAACATATACCAGAACATCAACCGACGAAATTAATGTACAAAAACATCAACCAACGAAAGTAGTTTACGACAGGCCAACATATAAAAATATATAAAGTACCGGGGTATCAACTCATACATATACCATTGGGTTTACCCGTAAACGAAAAGGTATATAAATTGTACACTTACAATAGAGCGAATATCTCCCAGGCACTGCTATAATAATGTGAATGTCTCCACTGAGCTATACACATATAATTTATCTCATGTGTTGTCACGATGTTCAAGGTTATATATGACCTATCGACAAATGTGGGATATCTTACACCCAGGCTCATATTTACAATGTTCACGGGACATACTAGGAAGCTTCGCTACGATGATTATAAACTACATGGCTCGTTGCATTTGTAATTTTTGTGAAAAGTTCCTCCCTAATAGTTTTCATCTTATCATTAGGACCTATTTTCACTGGTGTAAACATGGGTTTCAATTTGTATTTGTATATTTATAGTAAAGATATCTATATTAACATTCTTCGTAGTTCATCGGATCCATTCACCATGGGAATTAAGTTGTTTTGATTCCACATGAAAACAAAATAAATAATCTTAATGAATACTTAAATGAATTATGTTTATTATTTTCATTAACACTACGTTCACCGTGGTTATGACCTATTCATATGTACGTACATCATGTAATCATACAATCTAAGCGACTTTTTTGCACTATAACGTACTATTAATAAAACCATCTTTATCTGAACAAATTTCCATTCTCACGAACAAAATTATAATGATAATTTAAAACATCGATAGCTATTCTGAATAAAACATATGTGTATGAAAAAGAAATAATAGTTCCTTACTGCACCGCAAATTTGAAAATATTCATGATTACTAAATATAATCAAAAGAAAAAAACCCGCAGGGGTATACAATTTAAGAACTTTTTTTTTCACACCGTGTGATACCTACCGTAAAACCTTGGACATGGTGTTGTATTTTAACGTACACAGTTACAACGTTTAATCGCCCTTAACATGATTCCTCTTGACAATGCTTTGATGAAACGGAAGCTTTTCAAATTAGTTCATCAATCTCATGAAATGATAATAAAAAGAAACCTTCAAGATACTACAACATCTGTCGGTACAAAATGTTAGTATTTAACCATACCAGAAAGTAATCGTCCTTAATGTTTTGAAGGGCACTTTGATATGCAAACTAGTCACCAGAAATGTGACAAAATCAAACATCTATTGAAAGATTTTATTCGTAGATGGAGGCATGCAACCGCATTATAAGATCATATCGGGACTTCTCGAGTGGCTAAACTGGAAGGAAATTACACAGTAGTTTAAAGAAATCAATTCTGTTCAACCAATATGTTATGATGATTATAACAAGTTTTAAAGACGATTTCATGAAACATCTCATGGCATCAATAACACAGTAACGTTGGATAATGTTATGTGTACGTACAACATTAAGAGAAGACGGTAGTTTGTTAATGTGTTAAACACAAAATCGGAAAATGCTCTCCGTATCATTGTATGGATTAAACTACGAGTGCTAAGGTGGGCCGAATATCCTCACTGCTTTTTAAATATGTATATATGGAGCAATCTGATTTTATAAAATTTACCCAATATGATCGTGATATTTGAGAATGCCCTTTCACCTATGTCCCATGGTTCTGGTTTTATGTAATTGTCAAATTAACAAATCGAATCGGCTTTGCTTGGTTGACCGTTTACCTCGACTGACCTTCATAGTAACTTACCTTAACCTCAACTTACGTTCACCTAAACTGATATTGACATTTACTTCAACAGCACATTACTTTTACATAGACATCTATAAACACAGGTGTGCGTCTCATGCGTAAAGGGAGAGAACTGCAATATAAATAAAAGTCACAATATGTAGGTCAACGTGCATGTGTACCGATATCAACATACTGTAGTAAACGTTTATAAATGTAGACAATGCCAGGAGTGTTTAAATAGCAAATATGTATGGCGATGATATGCATTGCCTATATTATTAAATTGTGTTTATTATGTTTCCTATTCAGTCATGCATGTACCATGAATAACGGAACAATGACTCAAACGGATAGCTTTTCACTATGAGTCTGACTCTCGACAGAAGATTACATACGATATATATACAATACCTGAGGTATGCTATGCTGTCCTGGTGTATCGGATATACTCGATTTAGTTTCAAATGACGAACATCTTCGAAGACCTTTTCCTACTGACATGTTAGAAATACTTCTTCCGGTGCCTCGTTTTTTTAAAACGAATGTAGCATGATCTTTAAGGAAGTAAACCCCGTAGGAGTACGTCCTGGTATAGTATATCATTACACACTACCTCGCCATAGGAATGGACTTGTGGGGATTCTGATCAATAGTCAGATTTCCATCGGTAATAAAGCGTTGAATACATTAACAATGATCAGACATGCATTTTATATGACAACTAACTGGAAATGTTGAATTTGATAAGATAACAACGCAAACTACACCTGTACAGTGTGTTCATAAATATGCTAAACCTATTTCTGTAAATATGTATACATCTAAAATTAAATGTCTTTACTTGTGTTTCGTCACATACGAATCACATTCCGTCTTAATATACACGTGCATGATCTTGATGTTCGGTGTTTAATAGTTATCGAAGTCCCGATGTTTCGAATTTCCCCGATTGTCCCTAAAAGTTCGAAATATCGAAGTTTGATTGTACGCAAATGCACAAGATATCATATTTCATTTTTATAGTAGAATTTGGCTGAGACTTCGCTGCATAGGTAAGTTCAATATGATAAACAGGAAATCCACATTGAGAAAAATGAAAATCATTTTGTTCATGATTCTTTCCTGATTGAGTTTCCACATTGACATGTATATAGCTAAATCCCAAAGAGCTAACGTTTTACATTGTTCTCTTACAGAGTTGTCTTGGATAACAAGAGTTTACAATAAATGTTCAGTATCTATGATTATTCTGTTCATGTATGTTGCACATGTAGGTAACCCTTTTGAAAGCTTTGAACACATGTCGGAGATTCACAGACTTGACGTGACCCTGTCCTGTGTTAGAATACTATTGTAAATAATACAGGACTGAAATATTATGATCTTATTTAGATAAATTGCAAAGTATAACTTTGTAAAGTTGTCTTCATCCTGCCAAGTATAGACGGCGATTTGTTCACGCGGTCCACATTCGCTCAGGAATGTTGCATCTGTTTGCATTATTGGGTATTTCACGATGTCGGACGTAAAATGCCGATAGTATCCGGAGAGAGAAGCTTCAGATGCAGCATTGGAACAAAACTGGTAGTATTCCGAGTAGCTGGCATGGAGGTTGCAATCTAGATCACTGTAGCGCGTTTGGAAGGTTGTTTTGAAGGACTTGTCAGGAGGAATGAGAGTGTCCTGTTTTCTGGTCATCATTGACGAATGTTCAGGGTCAATAAGTTTACCTTTGCTTTCATAATACGATTTTGGGAATTTTGCAGACCGGCGGGTCTTCCAATTTACAGCAAACATTTTAATCTCCGATTTCAAACACCAACTTCCGGTTTTTGTGTCGGAAAATACCCGTCTGTTACTCACACTTCCTGGTGTCACAGCCGACTCAGTATAAGTCACATTGTATTTCTGTTGTTTTCCAGCCTAAGAGAACTTTGTACGAAAAGTTGGAGACATCACGTATGTTTCGCAGATGCGAAAGAAGCGAATATTGTTTTTTTAGCAAATCACGTGATGAGAGTGTAAACCCATTGTGGATTTTACTGATACCCCACATGGACAGGTAACCCGCAGAAAAAATAAAGTTATGTACAGTAGTGTAAACATTTAAACAATAGTTGAAATACATTTTTAATATCTAGTGTATCTTGAATTTTAGTTCAAAAACATCAAAGGTTGTCAAAAGTAATGTACATTTTCTTGTTTACCAGAACAGTTACATGTACATGTAAAAAATAAAGAAACTAGAAAATGTCTGTAAGACATAAATGCCCTGCTGCCATGTGTTCTGTAAAAAGTTACAGCCACTTTGATCTTGATACCCTGAAACATGCACACACACACGGTACTACACTTACAGTTGATAGGTTGATTTTAATATTCATATTTTTTTTCTTTATGTTATAACCATCTCCATTACATATTGAATGAAGTTGCTAAGTGTTTTAATTGAATAAGTCGATGATTTTCTTTATATAGCAACAGTGACCTTGGCTTTGACCTTGGAACCCTGAAACACAAGGGTATACCCATATTTGACCTTTGTATAAAGTTTGACAAAAATCCGTGAAAGAATGAAGTTGCTAAGTGTTTAAATTGAATCAGTTGATGATTTTCTATATATAGCAAGTGTGACCTTGGCCTTGACCTTGGATCCCTGAAATACAACGATGTCCAATGTATAATCATCCTTGACCTTTGTATAAAGTTTGACCAAAATCTGTCAAAGAATGAAGTTGCGTAAGTGTTTACATTGAATCGGGTTGGGACTCGAAGGGACGGACGATTTTCTATATATAGCAAGTGTGACCTTGGCCTTGACCTCGGATCCCTGAAATACAACGATGTCAGAAGTATACTCATATTTGACCTTGTATAAAGTTTGACCAAAATGTCAAAGAATGAAGTTGCTAAGTGTTTACATTGAATCGGGAAGGGGCATCAGACATCTAAAATTAAATAATTATAGTAAAACAACTACATTTTACGTAACACACATTTAACTTTATTGTACAATGGTAACAAACAGTTGACTTTACACTTTAAACTTGTCGCGATGTTCAAGGTAATATATGACCTATCGACAAATGTGGGATATCTTACACCCGGGCTCATATTTACAATGTTCATTGGACATACTAGGAAGCTAAGATTATAAACTACCTGGCTCGTAGCATTTGTAATTGTTGTGAAAAATCCCTCCCTAATAGTTTTCATCGTATCATTAGGATCTATTATCGAAGTGTTATTTAAGGGTTGAAATCTAAAATCGTTTCACTTTGTGTAAATATGGGTTTCAATTTGTATCTGTATATTTATAGTAGACATTCATTTTCTTCCTTTTAAGATATCCAACAACATTCAGCATGGGAATTAAGTTTTTTGTTTCCACATGAAAACAAAATAAATAATCGTCATGACAATTACAAACTAAGCGACCTTTTTCCTCTATAACGTACTATTAATGGCACCATTTTCTACTGATAATTTAAAACATCGATAGCTATTCGAAATAAGGCATGCGTAGGTAAAAATAATAATATTTCCTAATTTCACTGCAAACTTGACAATTTTCCTGAATACTTAAAATAATCATAAGAAAACAAAACCGCAGGGATTTACAATTTAAGTATTTTTTCACACCGTGTAGCGTATCACATTGGACAGAGTTTAGTATTTTAACGTACCGAATGTCGGTACACAGGTACAACGTAATCGCCCTTAACATGATTCTTATTGACAAAGCTTTGATGAAACGGAAACGTTTTAAAATCGTTCATAAATCTCACATGAAATTATAATAATACCAGAAAGTAATCGTCCTTAATGTTTTGAAGGGCACTTTGTTACGTAAACTAGTCACCAGAAATATGACGAAATAAAACATATATTGAAACATTTCAATCGAAGATGGAGGCATGAAACAGAAAAAAAACATTTAACCGCATCACATCATCATACCTGGACTTCTCCTGTGGCTAAATTGTAAGGAAAATGAAGAGTTTTTTAAAGAAAAATATTCCGTCCAACCAATATGTTATGATTATCCAGGTTGAGTTTAAAATGTTCTTTGGTTGATGTTGCAATATCTGTTCTGTAGCATTTAAATGAGGCGACACTATAAATGATACCGTTGGAAGCACGGTCCCACTACAAACAGAACACAATATATCTTCAGCACACACGCAGGCATACACACCNAAAGGCCTAGCGGACGATCTGAAAAATTTGTTTTTATTCTATATTTTCCTTCGCAAGGACTTATTTATTTATTATCTACTATATATATATATATATATAATAAAAAGGGATTAAATGTCCATGTGAAGGAAGTAAATATAGAAAAAATAAGATTAACGACCGACTAAAAACTAGCTGCTTTCACCCTTCACTATATATTTCATTATATAGTTTTTTAGTCGGTCGTTAATCTTATTTTTTCTATATATATATATATAGTAGATAATAAATAAATAAGTCCTTGCGAAGGAAAATATAGAATAAAAACAAATTTTTCAGATCGTCCGATAGGCCTTTCTGCCTTCTAGGGCTTCTTCAGGCGGATTGATATATATATATATATAGTGTAAAGCGCTTTAGAGGGGTTTATGTCAGCTAGATAGGGCGCTATATCAAATGTTGTATATAATCATTATTATAATATTTATACAAAATTTCAAAAGAAGACTTCATTGAACCTATCATGATAGTGCTGACACTGGTTACGGTTGGGATAATATAATATTTACGTTTAACACCAAAAGAAAATGAAAGCTTGTCAATATGTTAAATGTACCTGTGCAATAAATACCTACAACAATGTCCAAAACAATCGACGTACCGTGATACTTTGCGCTGGAAAGTTATTTCTATTAATGTACGCAATTTTCAACACAAGTTGTACTTAAAAATATGTACATTTTGTTGCGTTACACTTTACACTTAAACGCTGCCATTTTATTATACGAACTATAGTATTGTATTTTCGGCCTCTCATGGTTAGCTTCATTACATGAAGTGGTAAATGTGAAATATTATTGCTGCAATATGGGTGGCCTTATTTGAATGATACTTTACTAATAAAAATCAGCAAACTTCGTTTGAAAAAACGGTCAATCGGAGAAAAAAAAAACATATTTCAAAACGAAGTTTGCTGATTAAATAATTAAAATATCATCATCAAATAAAGCCACCCATATGTTCTCTGAAATATTTTTTGTACTATAATTCGGCCCATTTTGTATTTAATACTATTACAGCACTAATAGTCACAGTTTCTGCCGGGGTACGGGGTTTCTGAATTTGTTAATAATATGGCCTTACATAACCGGATACTGGCTTTTAAGTGTCGATTTCCCCCTGTGTATAATCCCCTGTGTATAATTATACACAGGATCAAATGACATGTATCATTATGCATTGATTATTATTTATAGAAAACAAAACCTTTCATTAATCATTTAAACAAAAACACGACTTCCGGTGTCAATGGG